TTCTATTTGTAGCTACCATTATGCTCAGTGGTGTTATCGTGGTGCATAGAAATATTGCAAGAGGCTTTGGCCCAACATGTAACAGCTTAGGTGTGATATATCCTGCTGTTTAGAAAGATACAGCAGAATTAAAAAATACAGAAGAGCAGTTGACACAAATTTAACAATTAAATTCACCATCTATATGTGAATATAGATATATACACTATTTGTTCCAGACCCTGACTTATGCATCTTAAAGTGTAAATGCCTCTAATGTTGTTAGTCAAAATGCTGGACCACCTTCCTGGGATTTTTGGAAGTTTTGGTAATGCTTTTTTAAATCAGAGCTTCTAAAAGTTACAAGACAGTAGAAATGGAAAATGGAAGTTATAGACCTGTGCTATCTAACGATTTAGCCATAATGTGAACATAGAGTTTAATGAACAGTTTAAAGGATTATCAAGTGTTTTTATATAAGTTGTCTGAAGGCTCTTGTTTGTAAGTTACCTAACCTCACATTTTCAAATTCTCTCAGCCTTAGGGAACTCCTACAGCTCTATAAGTTTATACCTGCTTGTTTCACTTTGTCCGTGGAACTATGATCATTTACTTAAGGCTCAAATCTGCATGTTTGCAAACCTGTTTGCCAACATACCAACCTATGTTTGTCAATTGAGTAAGGGTTGCATAAGAACAAGCAAGTATTAGATTCCAACCTCTGACTCTCATGAAAGTTTTTTCCATAAGTGACTTGTATGACAGGTTTCTCTAAGGTTATAACCCGGAATAAAGCTCTTTCCGTAAACATTAGAATAAACACTAACATAGTCCAATGCAATTTGGCAAATGACACAGAGCTTCTTTAGTTGTTCATGCTTATGATTTTGTTACATCTAGATTTCAATGAGATGGTCTGCCGCTTTCAGCTCAGCGTTGGTCATTGTCCTCAGTCATGTTACACTTCCAGTTACCACCCTGTAAGCTTTGGAGGAAAAGCTAAATAAAGCTTGAGGGTTACAGATATTTCAGACTGTAGAGGTTATGATGAAATTCTTTAGTTAATTCAATTTGTTGCTTAAAAATGAAAGAAACAAGTATTCCCTTAATTTGAACTAGACCTAGGCTACACTTTACAAGGTTCCCGAACGTAAACTGACTTAATGACCAAACCTGAATGAACAGCTTTAGCACCCAACTACATCTCCTCAGTGGTCAACTATTTTCTACAACTGCTCCTTGGTACACATATTAACAGAGTCCATGCCGGAGATTTAATACAACCCAGCTAAATGAAGGACCTAGTAAACAGCCAAGAAAGGAGGCATGCGATGCAAAATAATGCACAGTATTAGTCAATTAAAAGCATCCAGAAAAAATTCTGCTTAGTTTTCTCATTAACCGCCAAAACTAATCCAACCAGAAACTCACTGCAGAATCATTGTAGAATCAAATTTGGATTCTGAAAAAAAAAAAAAAAATTGTTGAATTTATATAAAGAAAATGTACATCAATTATACACAATTGCATTTTGTTATGCCTTGAAAATGTCCTAATTGACAAGAAATGTAATACATGGCATGTGATAATGAATATGTTTAATGGGCGACACAGACAGGAAACTAGTAATGTTTGGGAGGAAACTGGAGAATCCAAAGAGAACATGTAGACTCTACGCAGAAATACTCAGACCTTCTACTGCAAGGCAACATTTCTACAAACTGCACCACCATGCAGCCCTCTGTTGTGAATTGATCCTAAAAAAAAATGTTCTCGGTCTAAGTGGCAGTTGGGGAATTCACCACACAGTGCAACTATTTCATATTTTATGTATTTCAGTCGTGACTGAATCTTGTCCGTTTCATTAAAACTGCATTTAAAAGAATATTTCACAACTGAATAATTAAGGGAAACAGCATATAAAAGTATATATAAAAAAAGAAAAACCTCTCTCCAACCAGTTTTTCAGTGTAGCCTGTCCCAATGCTAATTAAACCACTTGGCATACAAAAACACACAAGTCACCACACAATATTTCATGGACATCTGTCAGCAGACAACTTAAACTTTTCTAACAGCTCTAACAACAATCAAAAATAAAATGAAAAAATGAAAAGTGATGAAATTAACCAATCTCAAGGTTGTTTCACTACAGCTTAACAGCTTCATAAATTGGGAAGACTTACCTTAACCTTAGTTTGGACCAATATACACCTTACCAAAACTAAGAATCACTCTCCCAAGCAACTACTGTGTGGCCACACTTTTCATTAGAATATATGTAACACAGCAATTCAAATCAAACAAAGCTGATTAAATATACCCAGTGATATAGAATTGTTAATAGTATGCATTAGGTATAATTAAACCTGATTTAAAAGCATTAACTGGCATTTAGGCAATCACCCATAGAAAAATGAAAGATAAAACAAAAGAATACAAAACAGATGATTCTGCTGAGGCCAACTGGGGATCAAGGAGATAGAAGCAGTCATTCAGAAATAAACAGAGATACACAAGTCAACTGTTAACCAGCTCCACAGGCGGCCCTGTGCAGGAAACACACAGCCAGGCAGACAAGCTCTAAACTAGCTCTCATATCTGAGGATGAAAGCGAGCACATAGTCATAGTTACAGAAACAGGACTGCACTAAAAATCAGGTCAAGCTCAAACATCTACAGTATAAACAAAGGTATTGATGGCAGCAGCAGATCTGATTTTTCTCTCTATGAGTGTGTGACAACCAAACAGACCAGATAAAGCTACTATGATGAGAAAGAGCAGAGAGAGCATATTGTTAGAGATTTAACTAAGGAATACTGTACCATAGAGTGGGAGAACAGAGATACAGACTGACGCAGAATGTTGAAAAGAGGCTCCTATGTCCTCCAGCTGTCTAAGCCTATAGCAGCATAACTATAGATATAGCTCATGATAACCTGAGCGACTCTAACTATAATCTTTATCATAAAGGAAATTATAACTAAAAGATCTGCCTTCCATTCTACTTTTAGAAATTCTAGGAGCCACTAATAAACCTGAAGATTAAGAGCAAAGCACACTTTCAGGAACATAAGGAACAATCATATCTCTGATATAAGATGGAGCTTGAACATTTAAGGCTTTTAATGTGAGAAAGAGGATTTTAACTTCTATACTGGGTTTAACAAGAAGCCAATGAAGAGAAGCCAGGATAGGCGAGATATGATCTCTCTTTTTCATTTTCATCAGAACTCTGGCTGCAGCATTTTGGATCAGCTGCAGGCTTTTAACTACAGTTTGTGGACTTCCTGATAGTAAAGAATTACAATAGGCCAGCCTTGAAGTAACAAATGCATGGACTTGTTTCTCAGCATCAAACCTGTTATTTTTATTTTTTGCATAATTCCGCACATGAAAGAAGGAAATTCTAGAAACCTCTTTGACATGGGATTTAAATGACAGGTCCTGATCAAAAATAACACCAAGATTTTTTACTTTATCATTTGAGATCAATTTAATCCCATCCATATGAAGTGACTGACTAATCAGCTTATTTTTCAAAGACTCTGGTCCAAAGACCATAACTTCTGTTTTGTCTGCATTCAAAAGGAGAAAAGTAAAGTCATCCAGCTTTTTATGTCTACATTTGACCAAGTAATCTTTGTCAAGAGACGGTTTCTTTAGTAAAGGTTTAATTACAGCAACCTTAGAAGCCTCTGGTACATATCCCTGTAACAGGGATAGGTTAATTACATTTAAAATGAAAGAGTTCAAAGGGAATACTTCCCCTGGTTAAATAACCTGGTTGGAACTGGATGTTACATAAAAGATGAAGGCTTGGATGAAGATATTAGTTTTGATAATTCTGAAAGTTCAACTGGATCAAAGCAGTCTCGAACTGTTTTTTTTTAGAGGGGTTCTGATTATCTTATTTCTAATAAAATTAATCTTGTTACTTAATGCTATGAGCAGGGGGTGGTGGATGGTTCAACAGAGCTATGGCTCTGGGTGAGTTTGGAAACTGTATTAAAAATAAATCTAGGACTTATTCTTATTCTTCTCTATTAATGAAGAGAAATATGTTGTTCTTGCTTTATGAAAGGTGTTCCTATATAGCAATAAGTGTTTTTCCAGACTAGGTGGGATTTGCGTATGCGTGTAGAGTGTCATTTTCTCTCCAGTTTAAAAATTTAAATCTAAATAAGAATTTTCTTCTTAAAATAAGTGCATTTTGTCTTGAATTAAGGAGGTAAGTGAGACACTTTGCCAATGGAACAAGTCAATTTACATTTATAATAAGAAAAAATAATTGCATTGTCTTTTATATTATCTAAGGAATAAAGAGTAAAAGCACTAATTCCATTGGCAAATCACCTTATTTACCTACTCAAATTAAGGCTAAATAAACGTAATATAAGAAATGTTGACATATTTCTAGATCACTTCAGCATTTTGCATTTTATGTAAAGTAAATTAACGAGTCAACTTGTTCTTTGCCATGACAGACACCTCACCTGACCTCTGATTGTGAGCCTTGTGGTTAATGTCTGAGGTCAGGCATGTCCAAAGTTGGTCCTGAAGGGCTGCTGTCCTGCAGATTTTAGAGGTTTCCTGCTTCAGCACAGCTGATCTCTATTGATAGCTGGTAAACAGGCTTTTGCTGAACGGCAATTATATAAATAAGCTGTATTGAAGGAGAGAAACCTCTAAAACCTGCAGGACGGTGGCCATCGAGGTTTGACTTTGGACATTGTTCTTGGCTATAAATCACTGTGATGCATGTTAAAAGTCATGTTTTGAAGATGCAAACAGAAGCACACCATTGAAACAATTACACTCTAAAAGCTGTTTCTTATATTGCCTTGTGGGTACTAAAGTAAAGTTATAAGAAATATGTTGCAAATAGATAATATGTTTTAAATGACCCAACTAACTTTGTTTAATAAATTTTTTTAAAATTAGGATTTGAGATTGATGGTTCTAATGCAGATGGGGAGGTAAAAAAAAGCAAAGGAATACAAAGATGAACATACTTATATGTTTTTATTCGCTTCATTTTCTAGACATGAATATTAGAGTATTGATATGATATATGTCAAAAGAAAAGAAATACACTCTATATTCCTACCACAGTACAAAACATGTATGCTAGGTCAACTGTTCTCTCTTAACTGTCATCAAGTATGTGTGGAGCAGCCTTGTTTTATTGTCCTGTGTGTTTCTGTAATAACCTGGAATGACTGACAACCTGTGCAGGATTTACCCTGCCACTAGTCAAATGTCTGCTAGACAAAGCTAGCCCCTTAACACAGTGCCCATCTAACCCCGCAAAGACAAGATAGATCAGATGATGGATGGATGGATGGATGGATGGATGGATGGATGGATGGATGGATACACGGATGACAAAGGCTAGGCAAAGAATAAAACAGATTATATGTATTCATGATTTTTGTAGATTTTTCTCGACCTCTGGAAATATATATATATCCCCACATAGCCCAGTTACTGCTTCTTGATGCTCCTCTAGGGACTTGCTGTTGTATTCAAGGGGCGAATAGTTATGGAGGAAGGCAACCCTTCTTGAACCAGTTTTTCTTTAATCTGAGGAAGAAAATACAGGTTGTTATCACTGGTTATCAGTGTTTGAACTCATTCAAAACTAATGGCACTGTCACACCTTGACGATTTAGCCAGCGTATGTCGACGTACCATGAATCTTCTAAAACGCTGGCATACGCTGAACTTTCTTTGTATTTTTTCCATTTTGGACATATACATAGAGTATTCAAAACAAGTCCAGAACTTATGTCGAACGACAACCTAACTTGTGCATAACGCACGGCAGCGTAATGCCCATGAAATGTCACAAGCCAGTGTCCTAAGGGGGGCAGCAACATGACCGGAGGTGTCTGGCCGGCATAAAAAGAACAAGAAGAAGATTTATCTAGCTGCTGTTTACCGCCTGCCCAAAAAAAAAGAGAAAAAGAAAAAAGAAATAAAGAAGGTTTGAAGTCACAGCAAAATCAGCGACAGGAGTTTTGTTGGTCCTGGGCGTAAACAGATAACCCATCACAGTCACCTTCACGCTCACCCTGATGGGGATGATAGAGGCTGGATAAGCTAGACACCACGACTTATGAGTAACTTACAGTTAACATGTCTCAATTATCACAAAACGTACCTGTAACTTATGGCCCATGAATGAGCATATACTGGAATACATCATACGCTCAAAATGTCTTGACGTACTTGCCGTATGTTGACGTGCTTGAGCGTGCTCATAACTTATACAAAACTTACCCATAGCTTTTGTAATCTACCCCAGAGTTTTTGCCAAATATTTCATACGTTAGCCAAATTGTCAAGGTGTGAAAGCGCCATGAGATCAGTAAAGTTTAAACATTAAGATGCAAACTGATGAGATATTTCAGATGAGGAAGGCACTTAATGCTATATAGGAAAATCAGCAAAACCTGTTTGGCATAAAATGATTGATTTTAATTTGTTTGAGATTGAAGAAATTTACTGACCAGTGCTATGATGGTATCAGAATCATCCTTTAAAGAAAGTGTGGTGGAGATCTTCATATTCAGAGCAATAACATATCCTAAAAAAAAAGAGAGAACAAACTTTACAAATCCAGGGCATATTGCTTCTAATCACAGCTTAATTGTGGTAATAATAAAAGGCCTGATCTTTGATGATTCCAAATAATGAATGCATGTGCAATTCCTTTTTTGCATGTGTTGTACTAGGAATATTGTGCAAATGCTAAGTCGTGCAAACCGGTTTTTTATTTACCTGGCCCTGGATCAGAAGTTGTTCCAGCTAATGTTGAGATTATCTGTGTTGCATTTGTTGAAGTAGTTGTATTCAGGGCAAGGGTGATGCTTGTAGTAGCATTTCGAGTTGAGATTAGGGTGGTGGAATTAGCAGTAGCATTTACGGTACTTGGTGTAGTTGTGTTTAATTCTGTTGAGCTCTCTGTAGATAAAGGCACAGATGAAGTTGGTCCTGCTGTAGATAGTGATGGGGCTGTGGATCCAAAAACAACATTAACCTTACAAAAACCATGAAGGGCTTCAAAATATAAGGTGCAAGACAGACTTCCCTTACCGTTTCCAACCGTTACAATAACACACCGAAGTTCAGAGTCATAGAAAGTATTGGATACACTGTAAAGGTAATAAGCAAAGATGTATAATTATTTTGTTGTTATAACTGCAGTGATATCCTCAAGTATCCCATTTGTATGAATATGACAGGGTTTAAAAAAAAGCTCTTCTTCTGTATTGGCAGTATGAGCTGAAAAGCTGGAAACTTTCAGAGATCAAATTTCATAGTATTCATTATTTAGTAACAATGTGCAAACCCAACTTATTGAAACAGATTGACAACACTTTTGCAGCTTCATTGGGTATTTGGTATGATGTAAATTAAATTACATTAGTTCCTACATTATCTACAAATTCGAAGGTCTTGAAATGTAAAGAAGAATGCTCAATCAGCTGATTTTCCAGTTTAATTAGCCCAAACCAGTGACCAGTCATTTGAATAAGTGTTACCACTTTAATCTAACATCAGAACTCATTAGTTTGTTTGCCAAGTCGAGTTTGTTTGCAAAGTTAGTTGCAAACTATAATGAAGTTAGAGGAAAACACAAAAGCTAACGATATCTCTGAAACGGAAACTATATTTTTTAACAAAAGGATGTCCGCTATTATGGTTAAAAGAAGGCTAAACCAACTACAGCTAGTTTGCTTTGGGAATAGACCAGAGAAAATGATTGTGGAAGGTAATGTTATGTGTTTCCATTGGAATCTGTAAGAAACACAGCAACTGTTGTCTACAAATAGTGATGGTAATGAAACCAGACACTAAAATCAAATGCCAAGCAAAACTGAAAACAATCTCTGGAATCTTTTTCTTTTTCTCCACATGAGTACCGGTAAAAGATTGTTTTATTGTGGGAACTCTCTTCTTGTGCAGCATGTCTCCTCTGCTCAAATTTTAATAATTAGCAACTGCAGAAGCATAAATTAATTGACATACAGCCAGCCTTTGGCTGTTACTTTTAGGGCTGGCTTCGGTTATTTTCCTCTTCCTGCTCTGCTCAACTCTGCTGAACAGGTAAACTTCTTAACCTGCTTCTGTCTGATTAACACAATATTTTCCACCTGGGACTCTGTCTATTTATACCTGCCTCTCCCAGTCAATCTTCACCAGATTGTATTACTGCCTGTGTACGTCAATTTCCAGTGAATGTGTGCTTTGCCTGTCCACCCTGCATTCCTGTGGTCGCCCTGCCCTTACTTTGTTTCATTTCAGTGCACCAGTCTATTCAACCATCATCACCTGCTTTAAGCATGCAACTAGCTTGTTTAGCTGTCATCTGCTTTTCCAGCCAGCAACCAACGTGTTCAATTTGCCTCCAACCTGTACCACCTACCACCAGATTGTCTCCCTGCATATCCAGTTAAATCTAGGACTTCCAAAGCATTCGATAAACCTTTTAAGCACAGCACTGCGTCTGGTTGAGATAAAGGTTTTCAGTCTGATACATAACATTAATTAAATGGGGGAAAGAACAATATACTTTGTTACTAGTATTAACAAAAACGTCAGAATCTGAAAGCATCATCTGTCTAAAAAAACCTATGATCAGAACGCTGAAAATCTCTGCCATGTTAAACATCTCATACAACATCATTTAAATAGATTAATAATTTCATCATAGTCATTCCATTTTTTTTTTACACTTCTGATAATTTGCATTTATAGTACAATGTTCTGAAAAGGTACCGACTTTGCCTGCACGGTAAAACAGATGGGATGATTCTGTCCAACTTCTGTTGCAGATGGTGTCCAACTCAGAGAGAAGCTTCCTGATCCCAATGACCTCTTCACCACATTGTAAGGCCCGCTATACAGGAGGTTGGTAATTCTTTTAACAAACAGAGAACAGAATAGTTATGGCCACTTCTGCCTTGGATCATTATCCAAATGATGGCTGGAGAGTCGACTGACATTCTTTCAAGGCGTTATTTAACTTCAACGGGGGTGATGGGAAATGTCAAATATTCTTTTTGTGTTTATGTAAACCTCTTGCGTTTGTGTTAGAGTTATGCAAGATACCAGAAACAGACTAGATCAAATTCCTGACTCCTGATAGAACTTGACTAACCAGACACCGGTCTGGAATCCACAGCTGGGTTTGCAACTTTCATAACAAACAGGTGGACTGTACTGTGAAAGGAAAATGAAAAAACACAGTAGGATAGGAACTACTTTAGCTTTTTTATTGGGATTCTTTCACAAAAGATAAGACATTAGTTTGGGGGAATTATTAGATTGAAAAAATGTATTTTAAAAGTAAGAATTAAATCCTATATGGCAATTATTAAGACACGGTGGGCTGCTGTTAAAGCTAAAGGAGGTTACTTTGAAAAAAGAAAAATGTAAGAAGAAAAAATGAAGTACCTGGTACTGACTGCGAAATGCTAACTAACAAGTGACCTGGTTATTTTTTTTTTTTTACAAAGTACACCATCACATCAAACATGTATGATCTTGATTCAGACTTTTTGAAATGTGCCTTGCTTTTACTTACACAGACATATTTGCCTCTGCTCTGATGCTTATTTCCAGAACCTGACCAACGGTGCTGAAAAGCTGAGCTCTGTTCTCTGGAGTTGAAAAAAGAAATCTAGGCAGGTAGAGACCCTCTGTGCAGGATGGTATTGTAGGGCCCACTAAAATTACAAAAGAAAGCATGAATCTAAGACAAGATATCAAGAATATCAGAAAAATAGTAACCATTCTCTCTATCAGGAATATAAAATGTGATATTAAAATATTTGCTAAAACTTTAAAGCTGACTTTTGTTTGCTTTGCAACTCAACTCAGGGTGTAAACATATTGTTAGTAGTATTTTGATTGTTAAGGAATTGGACCAAAGCTGAAGAGAGGTTTTTTTTGTGAGTTATAAAAATCAGAAATAGTCTCCCACCGTAAAAAAGGATGATATTTCAGTGATTGTACCTCTCAAAACAAACTGTAAAGGAATCTTGCTGATGGCATCAGTGGTAGTTTTCACCTCCTGTGAACCATCAGTTTGAGTCAAAGTAATGCTCTGTGTGGGAAAGTCCTCCATCACCAACTGGACCGCATATAGAAGCTCAGTACTACTGTTAAGAGTGCTGTTAGTTGGGCTGAATGACAGAGAACAAGACTGTAGGGAGACAAAAAAAAATGGTAAAACAGCAGGATATTCTAAACGTTTTAAACTGGTACACATTATTGGGCTGTTACATGTGCAATAATCAAACAATTGTGCACTCAAACCCCTGTTTTCTCTGTATGTCAGCTATCTCCTCAGATACATATATATTTCTTTTGTAAATCTCTAATTATACCCTGAAATATTTTTACACTTGCTTATTAATTTAAAGTTTTAAATTTAAAACTGAACATTTTTAGTTCATCAAATGGAACCAGTCAAACGAGTCGGTTATAAAAATGCTTAAAGTAATGAGCCTGATGCATTATGTGGAAATTGGTGCAAGCAAAATTCTTGGATCTAATGTAGTATTTATTGCACAGCAGAGGCCAGACTACTTCATCAGTTTCTGCTTAGAATAAAAATGTGATTGAAGCCTTGCTGGTCGTTTAGCTTCACAGAAAATATTGCAACCATAATAATTGTATAAATTATATTTGCTAGAGCTTTGCCTTTTCTTTTGTCTCAAATTAAAGAAGGTAATAAAGTAAAGTGAGCAATATTGTTAAGGGGAAACTTGGAATTTTAAACATATTTTTACCTAAAGGAAATATGGATTTGATTAAAAATAGCAACAACAAGAAAAACATATTCTATAAGACATATCTTCAATTTGGTTATTTTATGATATTTCAAACTTAAAAGACCTTTCAAATAGGATAATCATTGATGTGTAATAGTATCAAAAGATTCCTAAAATTCACTCCATCATTGCATATCATTTATACACAGCTTACTTACGGATGAGAGGCTGAGGACAGATGGGGGCGTGCATGGGTTACACTCTGAATCTGACGTGCTTCCATATCTGCATTTAACTTCATCTCCATCTGGGTCGAAAGCTAAGAAATTTATATTTTTGGCACAGTTTGAGGGAAATCTAGGAAAGGAAAACATTTAGATTAGATCAAACCTTAACTGTTTAAATCTGTCTCTACTACATAGAGACAATTGATAAAAGCTGACCCTTTATAAGGAATAAAGCTTTCAATTGTTAATTGATAAACTTTGCGATAGTAATATTTTTTGCATTGGCAAAGCCAGAGTACAAACCACTCTCTCTGTAGAGAGACCTAAGCTTTAAGAATATGGAAAATATCCCTTTATACTCAAAGATACTCAATGTAAAAGAGAAGACTTTCAAAAATCTTAAGGAGATTCTCACATCATTTATAGTAGGCATTTAATTTTTGTGAATTTAAGTATCATTTTACTTTAAACCAATTCAATTATAAATAGCATTTTTTTTTTTCAAACAGTAACCCTTGTATGTTGTTTTGATTTAATGAAATACTTATCATTTAGGTGTCCTACCTCAGAGCTGGGAGAATGGTTGACTGTGGGGATGAGTTTGGTTTTTCAATGTCCGAACGGTTTCTCAGTTCCACATCAGTCACAGCTAACCAGAAGGAAACACCATTTTGGGTGTTAGTGACCCAACCACTACCCGCCAACCTAAAGTGGAGATTTTTGATAAGGTTTAAAATATGTACTTTGCACTGCATATTATAGATTCAATATATGTTTGTCTCCTTTCAGCTGCCTCCATAATCAGGGCTCACCACAGCAAGTCATTGTGACTTGCTCACAGTTTTTTTTCCCAAGATGCCGATTTTAAACTGCACCAACTAATGTGGAAGACTCACACAGTCTGAAATCCTGTATTGTTGGGGAGCAGATGAGTTATTTCCCCTTCTCTCTGACACCAGCTGCTGTCCAACATCGTTTCCTCCTCAACCACAGATAACGCAAGGGTCTGGGTCTCTATTCCACAGTTGCCAGAGCATTCCCATGTATCACTATGTTTGCAACGGGCAAAATTGAGCTTGTAGCGAAGGATCACCTGTTGATTTAAAGAGAAGATTTTTAAAGTACAATCAATTGCTAAGAGCAAGACACAAAAATTAAACAAACAAACAAAACAAATCATATCTTACTGAGATTGATCCATTTGCAAGAGTTTCCTTTGGGTAATAGGTCATCACGGTGCCTAGAAAATGAGATGCTTGTGAACCCCCGACCAGAAGCCAAAGCAGCACCAAAGAGAGCAACATGATGAGTCTCAAACAGATGACAGCGAAGGGGAACTTTTATATTCCTCTACCTTCCTCTACACATGAAACAGATGACATATGGGACACGTGATGTGGGACATACTTGTGATGGAATGTTGGTATGCATGTGCTTTAGGACTGTGAAACCCAGAAATGACCTGGTAGGAGGATATTTCTTGTAACTGAGATAAAAATCTGTGGTGTACTTACTGAACATTATACTAACATAGGGCACCATTAATAGAACAGATAAAATATTTTTTTGTAGAAAAATGCTATATCAATTATTTTGTAAAACAAAGAAGTGTTATCTTGGGATTAAATAAAATACATTTAGCAAGGAAACCCTGTTTCATGTTTTGAAATTCTATTTTTCTCTTTCTGATGCAGAAAAGAGAGAGGAAGAGGCTGTAAGTAACACCTCACCCAACTGTACATACATGTTATATATTTGATCAATGTTCCAGTTCCATTATACATTTCAACAGTAGAGGCTTATATAAGAATTTTAACCACATCAAAGACTGTTTAAGCCAGGTTAATCAGCCTTTCAATGTCATAACTATCTCTGAATGGGAGCTGATTTTTTACTAGATGGTTATTAATTTAGCTATATTAACAGAGAGGGAAGCAGTGGCGGAGGAGTAGCTGTATATGTGGACAGCAGTCTTAGATATAATATAATAGACTGAAAATGTTTTATCATTATCTCCCTTTTATCTCCTCTTTCTTTCATATTTTCTCCTTTTTTTCTGTATTTCGTCTTCTGTTCTACTTACATTGCAGTGTCCATATAATTTGCAAAACTCACTGCATATTTATAATAAAGCAATTTATATGCATGAAACAAGCAGAACACTATGGTTAGCCCTACTGCTCCACCTGTGAAAGTAAAATCTGCTGGCCTCTTTTTGGCATCGACACAATTATTCTTAATGCCACATTGCCAGACAGGAAACTGTAAAAAAAAAAAAAAAAAAAAAAAAGATATAATATAATTGAAAACATGACTAATGTGATAATTTTGAGTCTATAATAGTTGAAATATGGAGAAAAATAGCTGTTAGCTGTATATACAGTACAGGGCTCCTGGTTCTAATATGGGCATCTTTACAAAATGGTTTGAGAAAATGACTCCAAATAATAATTTTATTTGTGGGGAATTAAATATTGATCTGATAAATGTAAACAATCACAAATCCACTGAAGAGTTTATTGACACTATATGCAGTCTGAGCCTTTTCCCTCAAATTACAAGACCTAGTAAAATCACATCTAACAGTGTTATATTATTAGATAATATATACACAAATTTAAAACATAATACAATAAGTGTAATATTAGCTAATGATATTAGTGATTGTTAGTGATTATTTGTGAAGGAACTATAAAATAATTTAAAGATGAATTATCTAAACAAAACTGTGAGTCAGTATTGAAAGAAAATGACGTGGATAAAGCATATGATAATTTTGAAATATTTTAAAATCATTATATGATAAAAACTGTCCCAATACAAAGTTTATTCATAAAAATAAATATTTAGCAACTCCATGGATCACTAAGGGACTGCAAAATGCCTGTTTAAAAAAAAGGAAAAACTATACAGAGTTTTCATAAAGGACAGATTAATTGAGGGGGAAATTAAATATAAGAAATATAAGAACAATTTAACTAATAATTTTAAGGATAGCAAAGCAAGATTATTATAGCAAACAGTTAGATAGAAATAAAAAATGTATTAAAGGTATCTGGAAATCTTTAAACTGTGGAAAAACCTCCAGACATACTAGCTTTCCTCAACACTTTACAGATACTGATAACAACCACAATAGCATAGAGAAGATAGCTCATAATTGTAATAAATATTTTTTAAGTGTGGGGCCTAAACTGGCTGAGAAAATCTGACAGCCATCAGTATGTGAAACACTAAATGACACATTAGTTAGTAGAAATCAGGATTCCATGTTTGTCACAGCAGTGGAAGGAGAAATAAAATTATAAATTTGGTAAATGATTTTAAACATAAAAGGTCAACTGACTGTGATGGTATTGACATAATAATAATAAAGAAGGTGATTGCTGTGAAGGACATTATTCAGCCACTAACATCTATTTGTAATCTGTCAAGTATATTTCCACAAAAAATTAAAACTGCAAAAGCCACCCCTCTATACAAATCTGGGGATTGACATATTTTTACAAATTACAGGCCTGTTTCATTACTTCCACAGTTCTCCAAAATTTTGGAGAAAAATATTTGTGGCCAGACTGGATAGATTTGTTAGTAAACACCAACTACCCGCTGAGAGTCACTATGGATTTAGGTCACAAAGATCCACAGAGTTGGCAGTTATTCATTTAATAGGAGACGTGACCAGTACATTAGATATAAAGAAACCTGCTGTTGGGTTATTTATTGACTTAAAAAAAAGCATTTGATACAACTGATCATTAAATACTCATCAAGAAACTCAAGCACTATGGTCTAAGAGGATTACTTTAGCACTGAATGAAAAGTTATCTCAGCAAAAGGCAACAATTTGTGCACATGGGTGATTTCCAATCCTAGTGCTTGGACATTGCTTGTGGTGTTCCCCAAGGCTCAGTATTGGGACCAAAGTTGTTTATCTTATACATAAATGATACATGTAAGGTTTCCAAAACACTTAATTTTGTGTTATTTTCAGATGATACAAACATCTTTTGTACAAGTGAAAATTTACAGCAACTTTTGATAGAAATACATTTAGAGTTGAAAAAGTGGTTTGATATTAACAAATTATCACTAAATTTAGATAAAACAAATTTTATGCTATTTGGGAATTCTAAAAGGCACAGCTATTTACACATAGTAATCGATAACTTGACTGTGGAGAGAGTGATGAAATTCAGTTTTTGGGAGTTTTGAAGATCTATTGGAAACTCTAAAATAGCTAGAAGTATTGCAGTTCTCTGTAATGCTAAAAAAAATTCTAAACTCCTTTGCCCTTTATATTTTTTTACTGTTCACTTATTTTGCCATATCTAAGTTACTTTGGTCAAGTATGAGTCAACACTTACAAAATTTTACTTTAATCATTATGCACATTACAAAAAAGAGCCATCTGAATAGTTCACAAGGTTGATTTTACTGTCATACCAACAATTTATTTATAGATTTGGTAGAGTTTCAAACAAAACAGTTTAAATATAAAGTTTGAAGAAAACCAGTAACAGAAAATTTTCAAAAAGTATTTACTGATAGAGAGTGTCTATATGACTATGGAGAAAATCTCAACTTCAGAACTTTGAATGTTCGAACAACAATAAAAAGAACGTGCATTTCTGTTCCTTTCTATTCTGACTCTTGAAGGAAGCAGTCGCATTTTCCTGCTGCTCTGTAACCGCCCGATCTGTCCCTGCTTAGCTGTGTTCTGTCTTTTCTGAGCCCTCTCTTCATACCACCCGAATTCAAACAATGGACTCTCAATGCAATTGATCAAATTTTCTCAACTGGAAGACAGGCAAAAGGAGACAATTCCTGTCCTGCCAGGAAATACTTTGTGAAATACACCATGGACTCATGGAAGGCTTGGAGGATGGGTTGTTTTACAATGTTGTCAGTGGAGAATGAATGGATTTTCAGATTTATGATACTCGGATTTCTCCTGTTTTGATTTGGAGGATACCTGATGTATCTACAATTACAGGGGATGTTGGCGGCAATTTGAGCATTGATCAGTCTGTTGGCAGTGGTTGATGTGCTCACAAAGGCTGTGAATGAGCAGGACTGGGAGCTGAGCTGTATGCTGGCTGCAGTGGTTGAACTCCAAGGTGAGATGAGATAACATTTTGGACATGCACGCTCGCTTCAAGGCGGAGAAGCCCAACAAATTTGAAATGTTGGATTTGCCATGTAGAGCCAGCAAGAACAGACTCAAGGCTGAGTGCAGCCTGCTCTCAAACAATAAGTGTTGAATTTGGCCTCCCCCTGATCATATCTCCCCAGGATGTTATGGCAGAAGGGCAAAGTTTTATATGTATATATATATATATATATATATATATATATACAGTATATATACATATTGTCAGGAATTGCCATTTTGTCAGGAATATTTTCTTTGGGTCATGACTCTGAGACTTTGAACATTTGAACTTTGACAAGACAGAAAAATCACTTCTAGGACCAAAAAGGACCTGGTTATTTGTCTTAGGGGTCTCTGTGTCTCCCCAAATACACTGACAAACAGGCTTTACTCCACCTCTAGCCAAATTTCTCCTGGAGATAACCAATAGATGGATGGATGGAAAAATAAAATAAAGGACAAATAAAATAGATTAGGCTCTAGGTTAATTATTGGGGGTTCCATTAAATATCCCTGCAGGGATCAGTTCCTCAAGATGCTCCTCTAGGGGCTTGCTGTTGTAACCACCAATTGATTGCCACTCAGAAGACGAACAGTTATGGAGGAAGGCAGTCCTTCTTCAACAAGTTTGTTTTTGATCTAAAGAAAAATAAAACACAGGTAGATAACATTTTTTTTTTTATCACTGTGAGCTCAATCGAAACTATTCTGAAAAATGTAAGTTATTTCCCAGTTGGCATGAACTGCTCACGCAAGCTGGGTCTGCCATGTTTAAACAACGAGATGGAAACAGGAGATACTAAACAGGTTTGTAAAAAGAACCACTTAAGGCTTCACAGGCAAATCAGCCAAACCTGTTAAGCTGAAACTGACTAACTTTGTTATCATTTGTTTGAAAGACAAGAAGTTTACTGACCAGTGATATGATGGTATCTTCATCATTCTCCAAAGAAAGTGTGGTAGAGATCTTCATATTCAGAGCAATAATGTATTCTATACAAAAAGAGAAACAAATTTATTATCAAAGCCATAAAGATTATTATAACCGTTCACCTGCAGTAGAATATGGTATATTCACGACTGACTCAGCAAACATCTACTTTTCTCTTACATACCTGGTCCTGGATCAGAAGTTGTTGCAGCTTGTGTTGATGCCATCCGCGTTGTAGTTGTATTTTCAGTGGTGAAAAAAGTTATATTTGGTGTGGATGCCATTGGTGTTGTAGTTGTATTTTCAGTGGTGAAAAAAGCTGTATTTGTAAGTGGAGTTGTTGTATTGGGGGCAGGTAATGAGGTGGGTGCTATGTGTGCTGTGGAGGGCGTTGTGGTGGGTGTAGTGGTGTTTGTTATGTTGGCTGTTGTGGTGATTGTCCTGTTGGCTGCTGTGGTGACAGGTGTTATGGTGTTTGTTTGGGTGGGTGTTGTGGTGGGTGTTGGAGCTGTGGACAGATCCACAAAAACATCAAACATGCATAAAACCACCTACAAATTTGAATATAAAAGGAACATGAGAAAACGTCACTCACTGTGTGCAACTGTGACAATAACACACCGAAGTTCAGAGTCGTACAAACTGCTGGAGACACTGTGAAGGTAAGAAGCAAAAGCTATATTACTAGTATTTTCTAAAAAGGATAATGTTTGGTGCTCAATTGCAGGGAATGACAAGTAAGATAATCCTTCTATTGTATTTGCAGTTGAAGCTGAAAAGCTCCAAATCTTTTTAGAACAATTCGTATAATATGCATTATTTTATTATATAAATATGCCCACAATCCAAACGCATGACTGTAAGGTTAATTGGCTTTTATAAATTGTCATTAGGTGTAAGCACATGGTTGTATGTTTGTGTTGCCCTGCAACACACTGATGACCTGTCCAGGGTTAACCCCCCCTCTCGCCTGTAGACTGCTGGAGATAGGGACCGGCCCCACCTTAAAGGTGACGGAATACGTGGGGGAAGATGGATGGATAGATGATACATGGATGAATGTTATGTTGAAATAAGAGAGAGCACAAAACCTGGGAGAAGCTTTTAGAAAGCAAACTGTTTTTTGATTTTTTTTTATAGAGGCATGTCTGCTTTTTGCCAAGGGGCTGTTATATGTATAAAACAGGAAGCCTAAACTAATCAGCTTAACTTCCTTTAGCAATATACCCTTCTGCTTACCTGTACATCTGCTATCTGTTGTGAAAGAGGATGTTCCAAATGCAAAATATTGAACATTTTAGCTTGAAGATAAGATACAGGGCATTCTCTAAAAAATAATCATAGTGACTTTTGTCCATAATTAGTAACACTAATGTTTCTAGTCACTAGGATAAAATCCTTAGCAATAGTTGGAATCAACTCCAGTTTAATTTGGTTTTTAGTTGAAATCCTGAAAATCTGTTTTACAATTGCCTCTTACTTAAACAGATGGTGTGATGTCTCCTTTGTTTCGAATGTAAATAAAATGAAGGAGAGAATAATATGTTTTAAAACTCATTACTTATAGTTTTCTAAGAGAAGTGGGGATCTCATTCAAATCTGCATGGAGTCAGTGCCCTGGGGTGGGCGCCTCTTCGGCTCTCCACAACCACTATTGAGCATTTTTTCTTTGGATAAACTTTACATGCAAAAGTGCACTTTCACAAACAACTACAGGTGCTTGGTTCCAGGTACTTAGAGATTCACTTCCATACAGAAAGCCCATATTGGTATCTTCAGGTAACACAGAGTACATGTCAGATTAAATAATACTACTTATACTTCAGCGATAGTATCTAGGTGTTACTTTATTGTATGTCTCGTACCATGTTCGTTGGTTGAGCTGTTCTTTTTTTTTATCTCTTTGCAGGTGATGAAGCAGACTGAAAATGTTTTATCATTATCTTCCTTTTATCTCCAGTTTCTTTCATGTTTTCTCCTTTTTTTCTGTTTTTCCTTCCCTGTTCTACTTACATTGCAGTGTCCGTATAATCTGCAAAACTCCCTGCATAATTATAATACAGCAATTTATATGCATGAAACAAGTGGAGCAATATGGCGATAGCTGTACTACTCCACTTGTGAAAGTAAAATCTGTTGGGCTCTTTTTGGCATCAAGACAATTATTCTTATTGCCACATTGCCACACAGGACACTGTTAAAAAAAAAAGTAAAAAAAATATGCATCTGGAAAATCTTGTGCAATGTAATTGAAATACTTATAAGATATCTTTAATAATCACCTCTTTACTTAACATCATATGCATTTTAAATAGTATGATGTTCATCAGAAAAGGCACTCACTTTGCCTGGACAGTAAAGCAGATTGCATGACTCTGTCCCTCCTCACTTGCAGATGGCGTCCAAGTCAGAGTGAAATTCCCTGATCCTAATGAATTCTTCACCACATTGTAAGGCCCACTGTACCGGAGGTTGGCGATCCTATTAACAAATAGAAAACAGATTATTTACAACCCTTACAACAATCATTTATGTCCTGACAGTCAGAGAGTCAGCTAGTTTTCCTTCAAAGTAGCTTTATTCTTATTATTCCCAGGAGGGAATATTTTGTTCTTGTTGTGACAACAAAACTTGATCAGGGTTGGGGTTATGATACGTGACCGATTAGATAAAATTCCCACTAAAACTCGTCTAACTGGACACCAGTCTTGCATCCCGGGATAAGTTTGTTGTTTTTTAAAACTACAGGCTGAATTTATTAGAATTATTATTTATTAAGCCAAAAACTATTTATTCACCAGCAATTTGAGGTTTTATAAATCCAAGAAAAAGAAAAAATAAGGTATTTTGTTTTTGGAATTGATAGATCCACAAAAGTAAATTTCTTAAGTAAAAAAAAAAAATACAATTAGCATTTTTTTATGAAATGATGTTCTGCTGTTAAAGCTAGAGGACGTTACTTGAAAGAAAGAAAAGTCTAACCAGGAAAAAGTAAAGTGTTATCTAGACATAGAAGTGTTATCTAGACATAGATAAGCAACCCTTTGAATAATAACTTCTTTTTCTGTTGCAGAACAGAATAATACATTGGAAAATCTTAATTTTGAACTTTATATATTGATGATTCTCTTGAAATATGCCTTGCTTTCACTTACGTGGACGCAGTTGCCACTGCGCTGATGTGTATTTCCAGAGCCTGACCAACAGAGGCGTGGAGCTGATCTCTGTGGTTTGGAGTTGGAAAAATAAATCTGGGCAGATAGAGACCTTCTGTGCAGGATGGTATTGCTGGGGCCACTAGGGTTACAAACGAAAACAAAGAAACAGAGCCAATATGTCATGAATGTCTGAGAAACAAAAAATCAAACCTTTTTATTTATCAGAAAATTAAATCCAAATTTAAAACCTCCATATAGCATGTACTGTATAGCCTAGTTTTAATTCTGCGTTGCTTTAAGGACTTTAGGTAGTTTAACAACTCTAGACTGATTGAAGAGGTGCTATTTTATTCGATCAAAGGTGCTGAGATGCTTTTTTTTAAGTCATTAAGATGAGAAATTGACTTTTTCAAACATCGCAGCAGCATTTGACTGTACCTTTCAAAACAAACTGTAAAGGTATCTTGCTGATGGCATCACTGGTCGTTTTCATCTCCTGTGAACCATCATTTTGAGTCAAATTGATGTTCTGTGTGGGAAAGTCCTCCATCACCAACTGGACTGCATATGGAACATCACTACTGCTGGAAGGAGAGTTGTTCGCGGTAAAATTCAGAGAACAAGTCTGCAGGCAGACAAAGACAAAAACAACATGAGGATGTTATTCATAGTTCATGGATGTTGATATTACAGGAGCTCTGCTCCGAGGTTTACATTTTTAATGATTAAACTGAGCACTCATGCTTATGTTGCCTACTTTTGAAAATTTCCAATTATATACCTGTACATTAACCCTCTCATAATCCTAATGTTATTATTCTTTTATGAAATTGAGGCAGAGAAAAATATCACTAATAAAAGTGCAAGAAATAATGAGCCAGGTTTAGAATTCAGTGCAGACAAAAATATTATACAGCAGGGGTCAGAATACATTTTTTATAGTATACATGTGTCCATCTGCATTGATTACTTTGGTGGTTGCACAGTAAAAATCAACGTCATCATCCTATGATTACAATCTCTGTATTTCTATAATCCCATTTTCTAAACAACTAGAGAGGACAGGAGCTTTCACTGTAGAGCAGAATGTAAAGTAAAATAAAGTAAGCCATATTGTTCAAGACAAAAAAAAAAAAAAAAAACTTTGAGCTTTTGTATAATATCATCATAAATGTGTGATATTATCAAATCCCCCCAACTGTGTGTATCATTTAGACACAGCTAACCTAGTTACTTACAGATGAGAGGATGAGAACAGATGGAGGATTGCATGGATTACACTCTGACTCTGTTGTGTTTCCATATCTGCATTTAACTTCATCTCCATCTGGGTCAAAGGCCAGTAAATCAATTATTTTGGGACAGTTTGAAGGAATCCTGGGAAAAGAAAAAAATCTAAATTAATATCACATCAAAGTTGTCAGTTTGATTCTGGCTCTACTCTCTAGAGACTTATTGAGATGCCTCTATGCACTTAAGTCAAACAAAAATCTTGTCAACAGTTATAGCATAAATGTATTTCTTTGAAGATTATATAAGTTTTTCCATTGATGATGAGAGGTATGTGGAATCAAGGTTTTTCCTTGGCCTATTTTGTGTGATAAAATATTTGAACAGAAGTAATGATAGAGAAATTCTGTACCATTCACTATGCTATACTGTTTAGGGGGACAGAAAGCAGGTGCCTCCCCTCCCTACTCTAGATAAGGCTAAGGTCATTAGAAATAATGAGTTCACAAAGCCTCCTTCATGCTATGGTTAAAACTTATGCTCTTATCGTTCTCCCGCCCTGTTTCGGGTGTGAACGGAATACAGTTGTCTGAAATGTTTATCTGAGTAAATTTATGTCTGTTGATAAAATAAGTGTTTCTCTTGGGAAGATTCAATGTTCATGTGTGTGTATGCTGTGGATTCTTTTGAAATGTAGGGGTGTGTTTCTGAATGCTTCAGAATCGCACTCAGCTGTATTCAGCTGGTTTGTACCATTCTCCTCTGCAGAGTAAAATAAAACGTTTTTTTTCTTCCTTGCATATCAACTCTCAGTGCTCATTTTTTTTACTCCACAGGTATAAAAACCTGTCAACAATATTAGGAAAATTAAGTTTTCAACAAAATTTTTTTTTTCTTACATTGACTTTTTATTGTTTTAGAGATTCCTGTCACAGTTATTTTTATACATATGTATCCTGGTATACTACAATAGTAACATTTAACATTAGTTAAATGTCCTACCTCAGAGCTGGGAGAATGGTTGTCTGTGGCGATGTGTTTGGTTTTCCAATGTCAGACCGCGTCCGCAGTTCAACATTAGTCACAGCTCTCCAGGATACAACACTGTTTTGGATGTTATTTATCCAGTTACCACCAGCCAACCTGCAGTAGACATTAAGAATGTGTAGATGTTACACAGTGAGTACAGATCCACAAACATCAGCAAGAACTCGGAAAACTGTTTATATGTTAATTTTTATAAGAATAGAATATGTAGATTTAAAAAAAAAAAAAAGAAAGATAAGCACTTTTGTATTGGGTGGATAGCATTCGGAAAATATATTTTTAGATGAGATCACTTCTTAATGATATTCTAAACTTCATCAGAATATTTTGGAGGACTCACACAGTCTGAAATCCAGTGTTGTTAGGAAGCCGATGAGTTATTGCTCCTTCTCTTTGACACCATTCACCACTAATTTCCTCAACTTTGGTCAATGTAAGGGTCTGGTTCTCTGTTCCACAGTTGCCACTACATTGCCATATATCAAAATCTATGCATGAGACAAAGTTCAACTTGTAACGAAGGATAACCTGTCAAATAAAGCAGAAGACATATGAAGTACCATAAAAACCAAAAGTTAGACTGAAAAGTTCTAAAAAAAATCTTGTCTTACTGAGATTGAGCCATTTGATAAAGTTTCCGCTGGGTAGTAGGTCATCATTGTGCCTAGAAAATGAGTGGCTTCTGAACAGCCGACAAGAAGCAGCACCAAGAAGAGTAACATGATGAGGCAGTGAGTGTCTTGTCACAAACACCAGGAGATAACAGAGAAGAGGAACATTTATACTCCTCAGCCTCAGTCCCACAGTTTAGGGACTGACTCACTGTGGAATGCTGTCAAACAACTTGTTTAACACCGAGTGGAACGAGGAAATCACCTGGTATGGGGATATTTCCTGAAACTGTCAGATAAAGATCAGACATAAAAAAAAACCAAAAGAAAACCTACTGTCTAGTGAACCAAGATGCCAGGGATAATCTTTTATAAAAGAGTGAGGGAAATCATTTTTTTTTTTTTATTAATTTAAGTATTTTGAATAACAGAATTGTTATTTCTGGATTAAAAACCCTGAATGAAATGACCAAAGCCTATCGTGTATTTGGAAAATACCTTTTGCCTAAGTCTGACCTTCTCTGCTCAGAGGTTTAATTAGTGCCATTTAATTGATTTGCAGAGAAGACAGAGAAAAAAAAGAGGATACCATCTTTCCTAAATACACTTTAAATTTGATCAACTGGTTCTTAAAGTCAAGTCAAGTCAAGTCAGCTTTTATTGTCATTTTCTTCATATGTACAAGACATACAAGGGAAATGAAATTACTTTTACTCTCTGCAATATACAAATATACAAGAAATAAACAAGACTGACATTTAAAAACTGACATAAAGTGTGGGACATGACAGGTAACAGTGGTAAGATAAATATAAACATGGTTTTGTGAGAGCAATACTTTTCATTTGCATTCCTCTCCACATGACTGGATTTCTTTGGTAAAAAAAAATCCCCTTTTTCTCAACATGGTTTAGAAAAGCTCATCTTGTGCAATAACAGGAGGTTTGGAAAGATTCTCCTTCAACCTAAGATTTGTCAATGTGTTTTTCTTACCATCACTTAAATATGCATTGTAAAGTACGAGTGGAAAATGGTCAGACTAAAAAGACTAAATTTGATCTTCAGAAAAAAAAATCTCCAGCCATCATTTTAAATTAGAAAAACTATCAACTAGGAACCTGCTGATGAAATTTATATAGCGCAATTCACAATGTATATGTCATCTCAACGTACTTTAAAGAGATAAGTCAACCAGATCATAAAGTGAGATTGGTTTACATTTTTTCTATCTAAGGAGAACAAGCTGATTACATCAGTTCATTGCCTCAAAGGCAATCCCTCACACCAAGCATGTATGAAGCGACAGTGGGGAGTAAAAATTCCCTTTTAACAGGAAGAAACCTCCAGCAGAACCAGTTTCAGTGTGAGCGGCCATCTGCCGAGGACGACTGAGGTTCAAGGAGACAGAAGCAGAGATACAGAAAGAAGCAGGGATAGAAAAGGCAACGGGTGTTGAAGGTGTTGATAGCTGTAGGCAGAAATTATCTTTGTAGCGGTCTGCCTTGCACTGGATCTAAAGGTGCCTCTAATTGAAGACACTTTGCTGTTGTTTAAAAATTTTCTGAAGAGGATGCCCACTGTTGTCCATAGTTTTCTCCACTGAATAATTCTTCTTTGTGAAATCTTCTCCAGAGGTTCTAGAGGAGTTCCTAGAACTTCTTCATCGTATTGTTAAACTTTTTGAAGTTATTTGCTCTAATTCTGTTTTCCAAGCAGATGATAGCCGAAGAGATCACACTCTCCATGACAGACTTATGAAAGATATGTAGCGTTTTGCTGAAAATATCAAAGGGCCTTAACATCCTGAGAAAGTACAATCTGCTCTGTCCTTTTGTTGCAGACCGCTGCACAGTTGGGTCTCCAGTTGTTTTTGTTGTCCAGGTGAACACCAAGGTATTTACTGTATACTCCTTCACCACCTCCACTTCTTCTCCCTTGATGTTAAAAGAATTAAACTTGTTGCTGGCTGCACAGTGGAGCAGTGAGTAGCATTGTTGCATTGCAGCAAAAAGATTCTGGGATTTATTCCCGGCCTGGGATCTTTCTGCGTAGAGTTTGCATGTTCTCCCTATGCATGTGTGGGTTCTCTCCGGGTACTCCGCCTTCCTGCCACAGTCTGAAAACATGACTGTTAGGTTATTTGGCTTCTCTAAAGTCTCCTTAGGTGTGAATGTGTGCATGAATGGTTGTTTGTCTCTGTGTTGCCCTGCGATGGACTGCAACCCGTCCAGAGTGTACCCCTCCTCTCTCCCATTGACAGCTGGAAATAGGCTCCATCATCCGTCACGACCCCAGCACGGGTAACTTTTTGTCAAGTCTAAGTACCTAAAACATCATACATACATACAGGGAAAGAAAGAAGACACAGAGACAATTAATTTAGTTACTCGCGAGGAGAATAGGAAGGAGTCTGCAGAGTTTACAATCTCCACTTTGCAGTCTTCAGCTTTTCAGGTCTCCTTCACAACCTGTCGGTTGCATGACCTTTATCTGGAACAATGTTAAGCAAGAGTTAATAAAAGATGAATCACACATTATACATCATAATAGTTCATTAAAACACAACCCATGAAACACAAACGGAGTATAAATAAAATATTTCTAACACTTTTTCCTGTTTGTTCTTTAATTTTATAATAATTTGCATTGTATGTTGACATTAATGATCAGATGATTGTTTCTACACCATACCACAAAGCGATTAACCAGCTCTCTGTACTGTGCTTCTTGTCCATTTTCAATGCACCCAATGATTGCAGAGTCATCTGAGTATTTCTGCAGTACTGGATTTCGGATGCAGTAATTTTTTGAAAGATTCTTTAACATTATTTGGTGAAACAAAGCGTTGCACCCTAAACTGAAGAGCGGCAGCAGGAACTATTGATAGCTTCTGCATCGGACTCAAAAGAGTCCAGAAATAAAACACGGAAAAGGTGAGCCATGCCTCACTTGAAGTCTTAATCTCCTGATCAAATAAGAAAGCAGAGTGCAGAGTGAATGAAAAAGGTAAGAGCAGAACAAACAACAGAGAATGCAGACAAATGCTGTTCCTTACTTATAAACTTATGAAAGGATTTGAAGGAAATCGTTATCAAAGCTGCACTTTATGCCATTTAAACAATCTCAGTATTTTATTTCATGTTATTTTTTTTTATAAGCATTGCAATCATATACAAAATTATTATCACTCGTACGTTCTTTGGCGCGTACGCTAGATCATGTATAACAAGAAATTAACTGTTGATGTTTTCTGGGTTTTTATGAATTTTGACACATAAACATAGATTTTGGTGATGATTCCATCAACACCATTATTTGACCAGTTTTGGAAAAAAGGGGCAATAGAGTGGAAATAATTTATATCAGGTAATACCGAATTGAGTTTTTCACTACAAATAGTGTGAAATAACTTTTTTTCCTTGAGATTTTACTTTAAAAACGAGTTACAAACTGAAAACTGAAATCATTAATTAATCTAAAAAATCAAAAGGACAAAAAAAGGAGTTAAAGAAATATTGTTGTTGCTGGTAAGAAAGCCAAAGAACACCTACCATTTGTACAATGGTTCCATAGTCTTTCTCCAGTGACAGATATTTGCATTCAAAGCAATTACATATCCTTCGGATATGTAATTGCTCCGTTCTTTCAGAAAAAGAACGGAAACTGACAATCACCAGATAGTTGAATTTACCTTATCAAAACTTCCAAAGCACTAAATGATGAAGAAGTAAAACATTTTTAATAATTTAACAAACTCAACTCATAGATTCAGTAAAATGAAGAACAAAATTTTTCTGGGAATTGTGGTACATTTACAGAAAATAATCAAATGTTCAGTTTCTCAGCAAATTTGATTATTGTATGTGGTTTGAAAATCTATTTACCATCAAATTTTGTCTCCTGTGTATTATGAGTGCTGATCTTTACGTATTTACTTTTAAAAGTATTCATTCTATCAGAGCACCTGCTAGACAAGGCTGAATGCGGGTCTTATCTTACCTGGAGCTACAGAACCTGTTTACCAGCTTTAAATATTTTGGTAAGAGCCTGGACTCTCTTAGACTCAGTGTTATTTCAACAAATGCTTTGGTTTGTGAGAAACTATGTGAGAAACTCTATATTTTCTCTGTGAGATCTCTCCCTGTTATGTAGATAGGGATAACCTGTGTGATTCAGAAATGGCAGGAATATTGACAACAATGTGCTTTTCCTCTCTTGCAAGGTATTTAATAAAATGCAGACTTGAATGAGAAATGCAGAATCTCAATTTCATTTTAGATAAGACTTAGAAATGTTTTCCATCAGCAAGTATTAATAAAAAAGGCTATATTTTTCATAAAAATGTAATAATTCTGAAAATTATTGACATTTCTGTGCTCTCAATACTTGTTTTGGTCTCATCTTGCATCAGTTACTGCATCAATGTGGTGTTAAGTCATAAATCATGTTATGAATTTTTGACACTGAGGAACAATATTAATGCTAAGATTAACTTTAGCATTGACTTTTAGGGAAACAAAAATCTGTTGTCTGATGAGAAAAAAGTAACTAAGAAAGGTGCTCTTCCTATTACAACCCTGTTCAAAATTAATAAAGCATTTTTCAGTAGCAAAGTAATGATCTGAGGATCCTCTGCAGTGATTGATGGAACCATAAGGAGACAATATTGTGTAGAATCCCAGTTATCCAATTCTACCAGCCAACCTACAGTTTCAATTATTAAGAAGTCTTTGTTTCCATGCACAGATTGGTATGGAAATAAAAAAAAAACTATTCGTACTAGGAGGTGCTGTTGTGTTTGAAACAATCTCTAATGCCCCTTCCCCACTAACTCCACTCCACCCCTCGTGTCTTCAAAGGTTTCCATTACTGCTTTCACTCACCAAATATAAATATGGGCACTGATGACTCACAGAAGCTCAAATGGAGCAGTGCTGGAAACCAGCTGAATTGTTATGCCTTCTCACTGACACCATTCACCAGTGCTGTCTGACACATTTAGTTCCACCTGCACTGTCTCATTTCCACAGTTGCCATTGCAACTGTATGTGTCATTGTCTGTAAGAGAGACAAAGCTCAGCTTGTGCCAAATGATGACCTGTGGATTAATAGCAATGGGGTGTTGGATGCAATAATAGAGTTTGAAGTATCTTAAACTA